TATATATATATATATATATATATATATATATAAATATATAAATAATTGATGTGGGTACTCAAATGAAAGGTCTCGATAAGTGTAACATCGGGATGAGTTTATATCTTAAAAAATGTCAATAGTTCACAAGATACAAGCTCATTTCTTAATTATGTAAAAAAAAACCCATTTTATCATATAACTACCCTGGACACAATATTTTTTTTATTCTCTTGTTAATAACATAGATTATCTTATATATTTTTCTAAAATAAGTAATAAAATATGGTTAGTATATATTAATAATAATAATTTAAAAAATTATTGATTATTATTAAAAAAAAAAATTTTTTTTTTCAGCTGTAAATAGTACAGCGATGTACCGATTTTTCAAGTACATAGAAAACCGTGACGTAGCGAAGCAAGTAATGAAAGAGCGTGGATTAAAAAAGATCCGTCTTGGTATCGAGGGCTACCCGACTTACAAAGAAAAAATAAAAAAGCGAGCGGGTGGACGTGCCGAGGTCATTTATAATTACGTCCAGCGACCTTTTATCCACATGTCTTGGGAAAAAGAGGAGGCCAAGAGTCGTCACGTCGACTTCCAGTGTGTTAAGTCCAAGTCGGTGACCAACCTGGCCGAGGCGACTGCCGACCCAGCGCTGCTTGACGCCGCTGGCAACACACAAGCTGTCGAGGATCTTCCTCAGCCTGAAGTGATCGCTGTCGGGTCGGATCCTGACGCCGAAGGAGCCATGGCTTTGATGCCCGACATCGATCCCCGCCGTCTTCTTTCCGAGGATCTCATGTGACTCGGTGTCTCCACGCGATGCCATCCGTGTCAACACAATCACAACTACAAAGATCACTCTGCACTGCGTTAAATTATTAATTATTAATTATTGAAGATTTTACATTAGACTTCAATACTGTAATACCAATAGATAGACACTAACACATGTTTATATTTATAATTAATTTATAAATCATTGTAAATAACTTTTCTATTCAGTCGTATCATATTATACTATATTACATTACTTATAATTGTAATATTAGCTTTCACATAACATATCCAGGTTTAAATATTAGAGTTTACGTAATTGTGATTTCTATATGACATATATATAAAATAATAATTATAATAATATTAAGCTTTTTTTATTTTATACAGTTATTTAAATAAATGTTGGATATAAATTTAATTAAATGATTTTTTTATTGTAGTAGTTTGTAGATATTTATATTTAATAAGTATTTTATATTGCAAAAGTCGGTATTAATTAATTTTTTATTATTTTTTTTGTCAAGTTTTATAATTTATATGAATTTTTTATTCATTTATTATTAAATTGACATAAATTGTATTTACTGAAAAATAATTACAAATTATATTTACAAATTAAGATAATAAAAATAATAATAATAATAATAAAAACTGGCAACCTTGCAATCACTATGTGACTGCCGTGACTTGTGAACTATAAATAAATTAAATTTTGCTTGAGTAAATAAGTACTTTTGTTAAATTTCACTGTACTTTCTTAAATATTGACTTTTTTAAAGATATAAGCTCATCCCGATGTTACACTCATCAAGAGCTTTCATTTGAGTACCCTCATGCATTTTTTATATATTTTTCATATATACATATATATAATATATATAAATCTATGAAAAAATGATGTGGGTACTTGAATGAAAAGTCTTGATGAGTGATGTAATACCGAGATGAGCTTATATCTTTAAAAATGTCAGTAATTAAGAAATGACCTTGTCTCTTATATAAATAAATTAAATTTTGCTTGAGTAAATAAGTACTTTTGTTAAATTTCACTGTACTTTCTTAAATATTGACTTTTTTAAAGATATAAGCTCATCCCGATGTTACACTCATCAAGAGCTTTCATTTGAGTACCCTCATGCATTTTTTATATATTTTTCATATATACATATATATAATATATATAAATCTATGAAAAAATGATGTGGGTACTTGAATGAAAAGTCTTGATGAGTGATGTAATACCGAGATGAGCTTATATCTTTAAAAATGTCAGTAGTTGGCAAAATACAAGGTCATTTATTAATTATTGACATTTTTAACGATATAAGCTCATCTTGATGTTACATTCATTAAGAGCTTTCTTTTGAGTACCCACATGCAATTATATATATTTCTCATACATACATATATATAATATGTATAAATATATGAAAAATTGATATGGGTACTCAAATGAAAGGTCTCGATGAGTGTAACATTGAGATGAGCTTATATCTTAATAAATGTCAATATTTCACAAGATACAATGTCATTTCTTAATTATTGATATTTTTCAAGATATAAGCTCATCTCGATGTTACACTCATCAAGAGCTTTCATTTGAGTACCCACATGCAATTTGATATATTTTTCATATATACATATATATAATATATATAAATATACGAAAAATTGATGTGGATACTCAAATGAAAGGTCTTGATGAGTGTAACATCAGGATGAGCTTATATCTTTAAAAATATCAATAGTTCAAAAGATACAAGGTGATTTCTTAATTATGTATCTAGAAATAGAGCATTTTTGAGAGTAAAAAATAATTTTTAAGAATTATTAGATTATTACTAAACTGTAAAAAGACAAAATAACGAAGACGTGGGTGGTGAAGAGTAGCATTCGGAGTGTTAAGTAAGTAGAGGGTGTTAGGATATTTCGCGGATCACCTTCTTGCATTTAGGTAGCACATGCGTACCCACGACCTAAGCCTCCACTCGATTTCCACCCACCTCCTGAACAATTTAAAACAATATATGTCAGTATGGGTACGAAAACGCAGGCGCCAGGACGATCAATAAACAGTAAAAGTTGAGGGCAAGAGGCCAGTAGCATACGGATTTGCAGTGGGATAACATCATCATCCGAATTCAAGTGGTGAGTGTCTGCCAGAGTGTTGAATTGCATTTTTATAAATTCATTTCTTCTTTTTTTTTTTTTTTCAAGTATTGTACAGTTTTGAGTGGTGAGGCTCAGGCGGCTGGTCGATCATGCAACCGCCACCGAGGAAGGTAAATTTTTATTTTTTAATTAATTATTAGAACAGTTCATTGAATTTGTTTTAAAGATTTAGTTTTTCTACTTGGAGAGTTTAAAAGCTGAGAAGCTATCGAACCAGGAACTACTCGCGGGCATTGTCTTCTTTATTTATCGAATGTAAAATTTTATTTTATTAATAAAAATAACCAGAGCAGAACAGACCGGAAGATTTGGCGATTCCGCAATCGCGGTGTGACCACTCAGCTACTCATACCCGCGGAACGCTCCTGGGAAAATCGATTCACATTCACCGCCCGTTCTTAAGGATCGAATCTATGTCATTAAATTTTCACCCCCGTTTTATTTATTACTACCTTACCACTTAATTTTAGGCTATTTATACCCTGTTACGTCCGTACTACGTCTATTTTATTTTATTTAGTACACTAGTCCATCAATTTTTTTTATTCACTCTCTGTTTGATATTTTTCTAGGGCAATTATGCGAAGTTTTTGAAAAATGTACACGGTGAACAGGCTGCTAAACTAGCGGCTAAAAATCAACATGAGTGTGATCTTCTTGAAGATATAAGGTATACATTTTCTTTTCTTCTTTAATTTTTTTTTCATTTAATTTATTTGAATTTTTTTTTTCAGAAACTTCACATTGAAAAAGTCGGCTATAGAAAAATCATATTCTGAAGTAAGTTGACATTTAAAAAATTTTTTTAATTAAATTTTATTCTAAGAAGTTATTAATATTTGTTTTTATTCTAGGCATTACTTAAAATATCTTCAGCGTATTTGAATAAGAAGATTCCAAATATTCCAGATTTAAAAATAGATAATGCTGATGAAAAATGGTAAAGATCATTTTATATTATTAGAATTTTTTATTTTATTATTATTATTATTATAAAAATTTTAATCTTAAATTTATTATAAAAATTAAAGCTTTTAAAATAATAATAATAATAATAACGACTTATGTTTTATATTAGTAAAAAATGATTGCTATTATTATTATTAATAAAGAGGATAAACAAAGATAGTAATTATTACAAGCAAAATACCTGATCCGATTTTTGAAGAATGACTAATTTTTTTTTCTTTTTTTATTATTATTCTTTCACAATAATATTATATCCACATGAGGTCTCATACAATCAGAGAAAATTTAGGTAAAAATACAACAATTAAAATTTTATTTCGACAATTTTTTGTTTGAAAATGTGGTACACTGAAAAAAAAAATTAACCTGATTCAAGAAGAAAACTCTTGAACCAAGAAAATAATTTTTAAGAGAGTAATTCTTTATAATCAAGACCAAAAATTCTTGAATCAAGTAAAATTTACTTAAACCAAGTAAAAATTTCTTAGTTTAAGAATTTTTTTACTCAAATCAAGAAGATGAAGTTCTTCAAAATTATAATACTTGATTCAAGAACATTTTTTTTGTGTTAAGATATAATTTTTTTACTCAGTGTAACCAAAAGATCCAGGTTCAAGTCTTGGTCTGGGCTGTCCGAATTATTTTTACATTTACCGAAAAAAGTTACACTGAGTAAAAAAATTATATCTTTACACATTCTCAAACAAAAAATTGTCGAAATAAAATTTTAATTCTCTGATGATATGAGACCTCTCATACCGATAAAATATTATGGTGAAAGAATAATAATGAAAAATGGAAAAAAAATTAGTCATTCTTCAAGAATCGGATCGGGCACTTGGCTTATAATAATAATTACCATCTTTCCTTATTCTCTTTATTAATTAAAATTACCGATCTATAGAGTCATATATTAAAACACATTATTATTATTATTATTATTATTATTATTATTATTATTAATTTTTAAGGAACATGTGGAATGTTTGGCGGACCGTATTAGAAGAAAATGAAAAATTAGCGCGAGCGCGGTTGGCTGCTGTTGAAGTATTTCAACAGCAAATAGCAGATGATGCAAAAGTTTTACGTATGCATAAAATGCAAATATCAAAAAAGGTATATATAAATTTTAATTAATTTTTATTAATATTAAAAAAATTTTTATTTCTTTTCAAATAAATACTTAACATAAAAATCTAAAAAAAAAAAAAATAATAAATTAAATAATTTTAATTTAAGTTTATTTACAGGACCTTTTTTTTTTGTAGAGAATTGAATCCTCTATAAAAAAAAAGTCTCTTATAATTTTTTTTTATCTTTAATATTTGAGCCACAATGAGTACTTTGAACTTTTGAAAATTATTGATGAGTTCTAAAAGTTAAGTTTTAAACTTTAAATTCAAATTTTAAAAAAAGAAAGAGAAGGCAAAATTTATAAGGCCTTTTTTTGTAGGAAATTAAATTTTTTATTAAAAAAAGTATGACATGTTTTTTTTGTATTTTCAATATTTGACTAAAAGTTTTGAATTGAATAAACTAGTATTTAATTTATTAATAATTTTTAAAAATAAAATCGATAAAATTGATTAATAATTTTTTTTTCTTCAGGCAATAGACCAACTACTGATAGTACAAAAAGAACTACAGACGTGTGTACAGGATGTCGATAAAACAAAGAAATTATACCACGACGAAGAACACAGCGCTCATGACGTTCGCGACAAAGCCAAAGATATCGAAGAAAAACTAAAGAAGAAAAAAGGATCATTTTTCCAGTCAATAACTTCTTTGCAGAAAAATAGCGCCAAGGTATATTATAAAAATATACACAAAATAAATAAAAATAAAAAAAGATTCTCTGCACAGAATTGAGCTTGCGTGATTTCAGAGAATGAAAGTTTAAACTATTACTTGCGAGTAATAGTTTTGAATTAAATCGTAAGTCAGTGACCCGGTGGGTCACATATTTCCGACGCTGTTATGTCAGGCATCACGTTATCTCAGTACATAAATTTATTTATTTATTTGTATTGATCAATCTGTATTACACAAATTATAGGTAACATCAAAACGCGATGCTCTGGAAGAAAAATCAACGGGAGCGCGTAACGATTACTTGTTGAGTCTAGCAGCCGCCAACGCCCATCAGAATCGCTATTTCGCGGTCGATCTGCAAACCACGATGCAGTATCTTGAGCAGAATGTCTATGACAAAGTTCAAGAGTATTTGACACTTATGGGTCGCACTGAATTGCTCACTTGCATGGCTACACAAAATAGTTTTGGAAAAATTCGTGATCAAGCACAACAGGTAATTATTTATTTATTAAAATTTGTCCATTCTTTTTTTTTTTAATAAAATCAATTTTGAATTTTTTAGTAGGTTTTTTAAAAAGCTAACTATCACATTTTTTTTAATTTATATTATTAAGAGAATATAAAAAATTTCGTCTCTAGGATAGTCATATAATCGATTTATTTAGTGAAATTTAGTGTCATTGCAAAGGTCTTGGAATTGTCCCTTTTTAAGGTTTCATATCATTCTCACCGATAGTTAATTTATTATCATAAATATTTAGGCTGCATTCGAAAATTTTCTATCTCTAGATACATAATTAAGAAATTACCTTGTATCTGGTGAAATATTGACATTTATTAAGATATAAGCTCATCGCGATGTTACACTCATCGAGACCTTTCATTTGAGTACCCACATCAATTTTTCATATATTTATATATATTATATATATGTATATATGAAAAATATATCAAAAATGCATGTGGGTACTCAAATGAAAGCTCTTGATGAGTGTAACATCGGGATGAGCTTATATTGTTAAAAATGTCAATAATTAAGAAATGACCTTATATTTCGTCAACTATTGACATTTTTAAAGATATAAGCTCATCTCGATATTTCACTGATCGAGACCTTTTATTTGAGTACCCACATCAATTTTTCATATATTTATATGTATTACATATATGTATATATGAAAAATATATGAAAAAATTGATGTGGGTACTCAAATGAAAGCTCTTGATGAGTGTAATATCGGAATGAGCTTATATCTTTGAAAATATCAATAATTAAGAAATTACCTTGTATCTTGTGAATTATTGACATTTTTAAAGATATAAGCTCACCGCGACATTACACCCATCGAGACCTATCATTTGAGTACCCACATCAATTTTTTTATATATTTATATATACTATATATATGTATATATGACAAATATATCAAAATGCATGTGGGTACTCAAATGAAAGCTCTTGATGAGTGTAACATCGGGATGAGCTTACATCGTTAAAAACGTCAATATTTATGGAAATACAGTGCAATTTAACAAGCAAAATTTTATTTATTTATAGTTGACAAGTCACGGCAGTCATATAGTGACTGCACGGTTGCTAGTAATTAATTAATAAAACAATAAACAAAATTTTTTAACAGCTCACAAGAGAATACAACATACAATGCTGCAATTTATATTACCCGGTATTAAAACAACATATACAGTATGATTTCGAAGCTTGTGACAGTGATCCAATTGATAGGTAAGTTAAAAGTTTTCTTCTTTGACCTTTACATTGAAAAAGTATATTTTAATATTTATTAAAATATACATATATATTTATTATAATTATAAATCATCATTCTCATTTATAATTTTCAATTTTTATAAAAAAAAAAAAAAAATTGATTGCAACATTTTTTAATTTTTTATTTATTTTTTTGTCCAAGTTCTCAATAAAAAAAAAACAATTTTTTTTAATATGATTTTTGATAATAAATTTTTAAAAATAATTGTGAAGTATGAAGAAGAAAACATATTTTAAATAAATTTATTACTATAAATAAAATTTTATTTTTAATTATGTATATTTATATTAATGAATTTTTTCACAATTAAGGGTAACTGCAGATCATTCGGCTGCAACATCGCTGGGCAAAGAAGCTCGACGATGGTCATCAAAAATAGCCCGGGAAGTAAGCAATATCCGTGAGAATACTAGAAAATTACACGCAATGCTCCAGCTCAAGGAGTCAGGACAGAAGGCAAGTAAAAAAACAACTAAAAAAAAATAATAATAATAAAATATAAATTTTTAAATTATAGAGTGACCCGAATGATCCAAATGGTCCAGATTTAGACACCAAAATAGACGAATTGAAGCACAATATTCGACGCGCTGAGGTACTGATAATATAATATAAAATTCAATTATTATTATTATCATCATTTATTGATTAATAATTAAATTTAGACGGCCAAAATGAAAGCTGAAGCTCGGATCGAATGTCTGCGTGCTGGCGGAGGTAAATGTTATAAATTAATTAATTTATTTATTTCAATTTTAATTTTTAATTTTTCAATCTAAGGAAGTAAAAAAAATTAATTTATTTTCCTTCAGTTAACGTCGACGAGTTTCTGCAAGAGGCCGAGACTCTGAGCGTCCAGGACATGCCTCGTTCGGCGAGCTCTTTGTCAGTACGTACTGACGCATCGGGAGCTGCGGTAATTAATTAATAACTTTAAACATTAATTTTAATTACTGTAATTGATGGTGGTAGCCGGGAGCTTGAAGCTTGCTGGATTTAATTACTCAATCAATCGATTGATTAACTAACTTTACTTATTTATAGGAACACCCGTCCTCGGATTCATTTTACGACAGCGACAATGACGCCGGTAGCGATTTAACGACCGTCGAGAGGCCCGGCAGTGCTCGTCATTCCAGCCAACACGAGGATGAGGTTTATAATGAACGCGAGAGGCATGATAGCGCTGAAGTTGATGGTAAATTATTGTTTTATGATTATCAGTAATTATCGGTATTACTGCTATGGCAATTTTCATCAATATTCATTATTTAATTATTTAGTTTATTTACGCTGATGGTCAGATAATTATCTTTACTCAACTTTTGTTTAATTTAGGATCATTGGATATTATAATTAGATTTATTTGAAGGGTTACACTCACTTGAAAGATGAAAGAAGAATTTTTATATTATTTTTTTTTTTTTTTCAGAGTGCTTTTTTGATTACATAATTTATTTATTTTAAGAAAATATGAAAAATTTTGTTTTCAGAATAGTCATATGATAAAATCGGTTTTTTTTTCGTGAAATTTAGTGTCATTGCAAAGGATTTGACTTGAATTTGTGCCTTTTCTAGTTTTCATATCATTCTCACCGATAGTCAATTTATTATGATAAGTATTTAGGCGTCATTTGAAAAATACTCTATTTCTAGATACATAATTGAAAAATGACCTTGTATCTTGAGAACTAGTGACATTTTTAAAGGTATAAGCTCATCCTGACATTACACTCATCGAGACCTTTCATTTGAGTACCCACATGCATTTTCATATATTTTTCATATATACATATATATAAATATATAAAATATATGAAAAATTGATGTAGGTACTTAAATGAAAGGTCTTGATGAGTGTAACATCGGGATGAGCTTACATCTTTGAAAATATCAACAATTAAGAAATGAGCTTGTATCTTGAGAACAATTGACATTTTTAAAGATACAAGCTCATCTCGATGTTACACCCATTGAGACCTTTTATTTGAGTACCCACATCAATTTTTTTATATATTATATATATGTATGTATGAAAAATATATCAAAATGCATGTGGGTATTCAAATGACAGCTCTTGATAAGTGTAACATCGGGATGAGCTTATATCTTAAAAAATTTCAATAATTAAGAAATGACATTGTATCTTGTGAACTATTGACAATTTTAAGGATATAAGCTCATCCCGATGTTACACTCATCAAGACCTTTCATTCGAGTACCTACATCAATTTTTCATATATTTTTATATATTATATATATGTATATATGAAATATATATATCAAAATGCATGTGTCTACTCAAACGAAAGCTCTTGATGAGTTTAACATCGGGATGAGCTTATATCTTTAAAAACGTCAATTGTTAAGAAAGTACAATGCAATTCAACAAAAGTCATTATTTATTCAAGCTAAATTTAATTTATTCATTGTTCACAAGTCACGGCAGTCATATAGTGCCTGCAAACTTGCTAGTTATTATTATTATTATTATTTCTTAACTTGGAAGATTAATTCGTAGCTTATAGAAAGAAAAAAAACATTTTTTTTAGCTAAAAAAAATAATAAAATTTTTGGATTTTTTCAGAAAATTTTACCTTTCAATTCTTTAAAAATACATCAAAAATTTATTAATAAAAAATCTGCTATAATTTATGACTAAATAATATAATTAAAAAAATTTGAGACTGATTTTTTTTTTTCTAAATCTTGCTCACATCTTTTAAAAGGCAAATTAAAAAAAAATCGTGTATAACTTTGAATAAAATCAACTGTTTAAAAATTCTAATAAGAGCATATAACTCCCTACTCAAAATAAAATAAAAAAAAATTACCTAAAAACTATATTAAATTATTTTAGCTCTACTAGAAGAAGAAAAGCAACGAATGGAACAAACAGTAGCAGGCTGGGACGATCCAACCCAGATAGATTGGGGAACTACTGACGAAAAAGGAGAAGAAGTCACCGACACAGCAGCTGAAGTATCTGATCCAAACGCCGGTCTACAATTATTCAAATGCACTGCTCTATATTCTTACACTGTAAATTACTTAAAGAAGAAATTAATTAACTAATTAATTATAAATTTAATTTCTTAAATTTTTAATTACCAGGCACAAAATCCGGACGAGTTATCAATAGTCGAGAGCGAGCAATTAGAAGTAGTAGGCGAGGGCGACGGGGACGGCTGGCTGCGAGCCAGGAATTACCGCGGAGAAGAAGGCTTCGTTCCGCAGAATTACTTGGACGTCGAGCGAGAAGCTGTGGCCACAACGGGGCTGACATCCCAGCCGGGACTGGTCACACAAATTTCTTTCTCCTCGGTGGACTACACCATCGACGACCATGACGCGGTTGATCCTGATGCTCATCTTCACGCGCAGCAAGAACCTGTTCCTCAGGAACCGGAACCAGAACCAGAATCGGAACCGGAACCGCAACAACAACAACAGCAGCAGCAGGAGTATCAACAGCAATATGTTCCTGAGGATCCTGGGGCTTCGTACTGCATCGCTCTTTATGACTACGACGCGACTTGCGATGAAGAGCTGACTTTCATGGAAGGAGACGTGCTCAAGATAATCAAGACAGAGCCCCATGATGTGGACGACGGCTGGTGGGAAGGAGAGCTTCATGGTCGCAGGGGATTGTTTCCTTCGCTGGTTGTTGAACCCTGTGCTCCTGATGGCGCTCCGCTGACTCCTGAAGAAAGCATGACACCCCCTAGTTCAGCTCCGCCTGTTTTTACGCCTCCAGAAGTTCCTGAATACGCGCTTACTGAAGAACTTGCTTTAGCTTTTGGTAATTTTTTTATTTTAATAATATTTTTAATTAATTTATTTAAGGTTTTTTTTTTTTTAATTTTTACGGCGAATTTATTAATATAATTTTTTTTTAATTATATTTAGTCAATTTAAAAGTCAAAATTTATAATTTTTTTTTTTTTAATAAAATTTTTTAGATATTAGATTTTTTTATTAAAATTTTATGAATTTTAATTTGTAAATTTTTTTATAATAATATTTTTAATTAATTTATTGAAGGATTTTTTTTTAATTTTTACGGCGAATTTATTAATATAATTTTTTTAATTATATTTGGTTAATTTAAAATTCAAAATTTATATTGTTTTTTTTTTTATAGAATTTTTTAGATGTTAGATTTTTTTATTAAAATTTTATGAATTTTAATTTGTAAATTTTTTGATAAAATAATTTTTCTGATAATTAATTTAAAAAACATTCTAGAATTTTTTTTTATTAAATTAATCATGACAAAAAAAAATTTTAAAGGAAAAATTACACAAAGAAATTATTAATGCAATTTTTAAAAAAATAATTTTTTAAAACTAATTTATTTGTTGAGTGAAAAATATGATGGAAATTAAATTAGCCAATATCTGAAAATTTTAATAATTTTTTTTGTTGAAAAAAATTATTAAAAATAAATTTTGGTCTTAAATTGTTGAAAAAAATTTTATATCAATATTTTTATTGAAATTCATTAAAAAAAAATAAAAATTAATTTTTAACTTACCTTATTAATGAATATTGAGCTGGAAAAAAATTTTCCACCATGGCCGCGTAATTGATTTACAATACTGCCCTAGTTTCGCAGTCAGCTGGCAGGATATATAATATGCAAGTGCGACTTAACTGAAAATGAAATTAATATTTTGTCATTACTTCCAGCAGCAGAAGAAGAAAAGCCGTCAATAATAAATGGTGAAGTAGAAAACTTTTCTATGACCATGTCCAGAGACCAGAAAAGTCACTACGGAAGTCAATTCGACGAGACCGGTGCGCCTGGAATAGTCGGTAAGTAATAATCTAAAAATTAGTAATTAAAACTGATCTAAATTATTGAATTGGCTTTGTATCAATGTGCAGTCGTTCAAGTGTCGGATGAAGGCGACAAGGTAAATTGCCTTGGCTTATTTTGTATTTTTTTTTTTTTTTTTTTTTTTTTTTTTTTTTAATTATACTAAAGTTAGTTGACAAGTTTTTATTTTTATTTTTTTCTATTACTTTTTTTCTTAATAAAAAAAATCCTAAAAATCAGATGCCTGCTAATTTTATTTTCATTAGATAATTTCAATATCATTTTTTTTATGAAAATTAAGTTAGCTGACATCTAAAAATTTTTATAATTTTTATTGAAAAAATTATTTCTAAAAAATTATAAGTGCAATTTTAAATAATACTAAAGTTAGCCGACATTTTTAATTATTGAAGTTTTTTTTTAATTATTAAATTAGAACTACCTAAATAATATTTTGAAAAAATTGCACTTATAGTTTTTAAAGTTTTTTAAAAATTTGTTTGTAATAATTTTTTTAATTAATTTAAAAAATTAAAAAAATTTTTAGATGTCAGCTAAATTAATTTTCATAATTTTAAGAATATATTTATGAAATAAAAGTTAGCAGCCACTTGAAAATTCTATAATTTTTTTGAACAAACAATTTTTTTCCGAAAACTTATTTTAAAAAAATTGCATTGTTAATTTTTTTAAATTTTTACATGTCAATATTTTTTTATATTAAAATTAGCACTTTATTTCACTTGATTATTTTTTAATTTTATCTAACAAAAAAGTTTGGTCTAAAAAATTATTTTTAAAAAATTGCATTTTTTAATTTTCTAAACTTCTAAAAGTCAATTTTTTTTCTTATTTTTATTTTGAAATAGTTTATTTTTTACAAAAAATTTTAAAATTATTAAATATCTGCCAAGTTAATTTTCATTTTTCTTGCCATAATTTATTTTTTAAATATTTTTTAGTTTTTAATTAAATAAATAAAACAAAAAAATTAAAAATGTCAGCTAACTTTAGTATTATTATTAATATTTTTATTTTCCGTAGTGCACTTATTCAAGTGAGAAGAAATGCTTGAGAAGAAAAAAAAAAACAATCTAAAATAATGAATAAAAAATTAATCTCAAAATTATTTAACAGGACCCGCAGGATGAAAAAGTAATAAAAGATGGAGACCGGCCTAAAATAAAACTAGAAAAAGTCGAAGACGACGGGGGCCTAGGTGTCGCGCAGATCGTGATAACCGCAGCGACACCTATGGAAGAAATCGAGCGACCTTTTCCCGGGGAAGAAGACGATAAACAAGATGGAAGTGAGGAAGAAGAAAAAAAAGTTGTCGAAGAAGTAGTCAAGGAAGAAATAATTAAAGAAGAAATAAAAGAACAAGAACACCAAGTAACTCCGCCTAATGAAGAAGTCGAAGAAAAGTCAACCGTGGACGACTTGCCAGCTGACTCGGCGCCATTTCCTATAAGCAGCAGCTCCGGAAGTGAAGCTGACTCGACATCCGGGCCTAGCACTGCTGACAATTCAGCGTCACTGCCTTCCCGAGGTACGGTTATTGAAATGCAGGTCGAGAACAACGAGACCAGCGACGAGCAGCCTGACATCATCCCCGAGAAGATGTTGATCGGCGGACGCGCCAGCATACCTGATGAGCTACAGCCAGACCAGCTGGAGAAGCTTCAGAACCTCAAGGAATCCAATGCCTAGGATTGACTCTACCTCGGAGATGAGGGTTACAATGCCTTAACAGAAAAACTGGCTCTTCCTTACAATCATCAAAATAAATTTCATTCCTTGATGAAGTTTTGGAATAATTCTCCGGTGGTTATCGGGAATAAAGACTCTAATAAAGTTTATTTCAATAATGATAATACCATTACCAATAATGATAACAATATTAATAATAATAATAATAATAATAATAATGAGGATGATATTTAAAGAAGACTACTACAAGGAAACTAATAAATGCTATTCCCCGTGTGTGTTTCGCGAGATAAATCCCCGAGAAATGTTCATTATTTATTATTAATTATCAAATATTTTTATGTTGATATTATGTACACAAATTTTTTCTAGGCAATACTCTAGGTAACTATTGTAACGCGTTGTGATTTTTGCAACGTTATCGCTATATATATAAATAAATAAATAAATAAATAAATATTATAAATTATAATGAAACAAAGAACAATAATGTGAAAATATTAAATAATAAATGAGATTAATTGTACAGTCGTAAATAAAGAGATTAAAAATATTGTCGATATTGGAGTTTTTTTTTTTAATTATTTTGGGGGTTTAGAATTTGTTAGTGAAATTTTTATTTTAAATTATTAATTTGGAGTATGAATTATTTTTTGCTATTTTTTTATTATAAAAAATTATTTGACTGGTTTTTAAAATAAATTTGAGATTTGTCAGGATTATTGAAATTTTGGTAGAAAAAATTTATTAAATGAAAAAGTTTTTTTTATATTCTTCATAAAAAACTGAGATTAAATTATGACGCTTTTTTTATTTGATCAATTTTTGACTCTTAAAAAAAAAAAAATATAGTAGGGTAAATGCACCAATTATTGACCGATTAAGGTTTTGTTTTTCTGTACTAAGCTATAAAAAATCTATTAACCTACTAAAACCAATTTATAATGGATTTTATTAAAGTTAAATACTTAATTAATAATAATTAATAACTATTTATAATAAAAATTAACAAAATTATATTAATATAATTAAACGAAGAAACCCAATAAATGACCGACCGTTCTCCAATTAATTGACCGCTCAAATAATTATAAGTAATTTTGTAAACTACATGTATGTAATTAAATTTATCCAGTACTTTTGAAGTATTAACGACATCTTTAACAAAACTAAACATACAATATAATTTTAAATCGTACTTTTTTATAAAATAATATAAATAATAGCAATAATTAACAAAAAGTCACATTTCTTTAGGTCACAAATTCATTTTGATGACGATAATTCTTCTGATGCACTTGAAATTTTTTTATTCTTCTCCTTCCTTTTTTCAATTAAAGCTTTTTTACTAGCTTGTAACTCGTTTTTATTTTTTTAATTGCTTAGCAATTTTTTCTTCTAATAATTCATTCTTTGATATAACCGTTCACTAAAAAAATTAGAACAAAATAAAATTTAATAATCAAAAAAAATTTTAAGTATTATTTTAATTGTAAATATACATTTTATAATGATTATTCTTATATTTACAAAATATTGAATGACTAAAGTACTTTAAACACTTGACAAATTTAATTTTAAGGTTGAGAAGTTAGTATTATAAATATACGGCCATTAATT